AAAAATAAAATTAAGCTGATAAGAAGTAAATTCTTCAAAACAGTTCAAACCAAAATACTATTTTCATCAAAAGAGTGGTATACAGATTTTGTTGTCAGCTTAGGATCAACCAGTGCAAAAGTTCCTTTGATTCCTCAGAATGCAGAAAATTTAATTCTTGGATAATAACAATAGACAAGGTTTGCAGTTTACAATGCCTAGTCTCCGTAACAGCCAGTTCAACTAACTTTACTGAAAAGGATTCAAGACCATAATTATTATGTAATTTTGCAGAAGTATACTTAACTTGTCACTTCCAAGTTTCTCCATAAATGCTGACTCTGAATTTATAGGACTAAACCAGGCAGTTCCTCTTGCTTCATTCTTGAAAGTTCTGTAGTGTCACAAACAGACCTGAGGAAACTTCATTATAAAGCAAAATTTAATTTAAAATATTGCGCTCCCTGATCAGACAGAATTGAATAAACCTTCTTACATGCCAGAGTGAATGTCACCATAGGTGATGTCTATGTAAGGAAATGTTCCTGGCTTCTTTTTCTTTCTTTCTTTTTTAAGTAGAGTTCTAAAATAAATGAATAAATATGAATAGGAAGGAAGGAAGGAAGGAAGGAAGGAAGGAAGGAAGGAAGGAAGGAAGTCAATCAGTCAGTCATCACACTCTGGAGGGAGAACAAAAGTCTTGTTAGTATACCTTCTTTGGTCATCTCTAATTTCAAGAAGACAAAACACCAGTGAGACAGAATACAAAGGGCATGTTTTCCTGGAGGATTTCCCTCTCCTTCTGTCCATATTAACTTATACCACAAAAGTATAAGGAGGCCACATGGTTAATTTGAAGTTGTGTGGCTGTGTTGCTACAACCTCCAGCCTCTGAACATATTGCATGGAGCAAAACCACATGGGTTGCAGAGTTCTCCTTTCGGTCCAGATGAATAGGCATCACATGACAACACAGGGACTGTTGCCAGGCAGAATTAGGAAGGAAATACATTGTAATGGGCATAATCCAACACAGTTTTATATGTACTAGTGATGGGAACAGCTTGTTTAGGCATATGTGTTGTGTGAAGAATTTCTTTAAAAAGAAAAAAATAAGTTCTGCAAAACTGCTCGTCTTTAAATAACTCCAGGAGGCACAGTGTTGCTTAATTCATCACTTATTTATTTTCTTCCCTATTTCATTGAATGTGTTTCCTTGTACCTTTTCAAGGATCTAGTTTTCCTAAAGTGGTTTGCAACATAAATTGTATTAAGATTTTGTTGTATCTATTCAATAATAGCAAAAGCTTTTTTCTCAGTTTGCAAACTGAGGAAAAGTGTGTTTTAAAGCACCTTTTCAAATATCCACAGATGACCTTTAAAATAAAGATAACCTTTAAAAAAAATAGCCCGTTTCCTTTGGGTTGAAAATCCAAAGGGAGGCTTAAGCAGAAGGCTCTTTCTTAAGTCCCCACAAACCTTGTTGATCTTGGTGATAAACCAAGTTACTGACCTTTCATTTCTTTATTTTCCCAAATGGTTTCCCTATTCTTTAACCATACGTCTTCGTTGTTTTCTAAAAAACTTCTCTCACTTGGTGGTCTTCCAGTGTGTGAATGGTTAAAGAAAGAAACATAGTTTGTAGTTCCCATCACTCTCCAATAGGCCCATCCAGTGGTTGGTTGCCCCCGGTTTGGACTGGTTCGCAAGAACTGGTAGTAAAACCGCCGGGAGGCTCCACCCACTGTCCTGGACGTCATCAAAGTTGATCTGCACATGCGCAGAAGAGCGCACGTGCGTGTGCACAATGCAAACTGGTAGTAAAGATAAGTAGAACCCATCCCTGGGCCCATCTGGGATTGCAGTACGGTAGGCACCCGGAACGCTACATGCATTGTCTCCTTTGAAATACAGTCACCAAGGCCACCAGTTGTCAAGTTTGGGAACCTCTGCTCTAGAAATCTCTTGAGAAGTTCAAGAAATGCATGACAATATATACCGTATTTTTCAGAGTATAAGACGCTCCGGAGTATAAGATGCACCTTAGTTTTGGGGGAGGAAAATAAGAAAAAAAATCTGCCTCTGCCTACCAGCATCCATCGGTATTCATCTGGCTAGTGTCCTGTCAGTATGTGAGACTGTTTGGAAACTGAAACAGTATTTGTTGTGTGAGCAACAAGGAAGGAGACAGCAAGGAGCCTGGGCATGGTTTAGGTCAATTGTTCTAAAGCTGCCTGCTGTGCTGATCTCTGAAACTAAAATTGAAACTGAAACTCCTCTCCTCTGCTTGTGTTTTGCTTGCTGCTGCAAACTCTGACAGTCCTTGCAGCAAATGGCAAACAGCCACGTCAGCTTCAGCACATTATTGCAGCCTGATTCAGCACAAGCAGCTGATTGGCGATGGATCGGCCTCCGGAATACCCCCAATCAGCTGTTCCAGGCTGCAGGGATTGCCATAGACCATTGCCTCCTCTGTGCCTCATGTTTTTGGCTATATTCGGTGTATAAGATGCACCCAAATTTTCACCCTCTTTTAGGATGCGAAAACTGCATCTTATACTCTGAAAAATATGGTAAACAATGGAGGACTTTTATATTTTATACAGGGACACAGTAGCTCAGTGTCTAAGACACCTAGCAGTTCAAAAGCACGTAAAAAATGCAAGTAGAAAAATAGGAACCACCTTTGGTGGGAAGGTAACAGCTTCCGTGCGCCTTTGGCGTTTAGTCATGCTGGCCACATGACAATGGAGACGTCTTTGGACAGTGCTGGCTTTTTGGCTTTGAAACGGAGATGAGCACCGCCCCCTAGTGTCGGGAACGACTAGCACATATATGCGAGGGGAACCTTTACCTTTTATATGTTTGTTTTTTTCTCTTCATGCAAAATCTACAGGCATATTCTTACAGAAACCAGAGGAAACAGTTACTTCACTGAGGTCTTCCAAAAATTGATTCTTTCTTTAAGAGACATAATCATTTTAAAAGAATTGGTACTGACTACTAATGTAATTCATGTAATTCCTTAAAAAGTTCTTTCTGTTACATTCGTAGGTCTGTTTCATTAACCCTTTGCAGGTAAGATTCCACCTCTCAGCAGTGCTCGCATGCACATACACATTATGTTACCTCAAACACTTTGCATATTTTTCTAAGATATTGTGATGTGCAACAGCAGCAGTTTTGTGAGAATGTTCCAGAAAAAGAATCCTCCTGTGTGGGTATCTATGTTAGGCAATTCCACCCAGAGAACAGGTTGAAGGCGGGGTATAGAGAGACCTGCCTTTGCAAATTTCTACAAGTTAAGCATTTAAAGGAAAATTATGCTGGCAGATCCACATGCTCTGAAATGCTGAGTTTAACACCTTTTAATGAGAAAATATGCTTTAATCTCACTTGTCATTTTTGTGTTGAAAAAATGCACCAGTGCACCGTAAACTATGTTTCTTTCTTCCATATATACTTCAGTGTACACAAGATGTTCTCCAGTGACATTTCTCATAACATTAACACCTTCCTACCATTTGCCTGCCTGGTATATTTCCACGTGACGTAGCAGTTTTTAACAGATGATTAGGCTGTTTATGTGAACATGGCCCCAAACAGTCCATGTGACCAGAAGCTTTATTCATTGCATATTTTTAATTTTTTATTTATATCTCTCCATTATTGTTCTTATAAATAACTTAAAATGGTGAACATACCTAATATTATTTCCTCCTGCTGTTCTCCTCAGAACAACAACAATCCTGTGAGACGGGCTCGATGAAAGATAACGATTGGTGCAAAATCACCCAACTATTTTTCATGGTTAAGTGGGACTAGAACTCACAATATCCCAATTTCTAGCCTGATGCTGTAACCACTAGACCAAACAGTCTCTCATATAGCCAAAAAGCTGCATTTGACCACATTTTTACAATCACATTGAGAATGTCTAAGGGATAAACCATTGACAAAATAGAATCATTTCTGCTTTTATGACCCATTCTTAACAGTGTGATAGGTAAGTAAGAAAGAGTAGATTTATTCTTTGTCTACATCAGAGTTTTTCAACCTTGGCAAGTTGAAGATATGTGGACTTCTACTACCAGAACTCCACAGTCAAGAATCAATAAACAGCTCTGTTCAGATCACCAGCAATAAAAAAAAAAAAAAAAAGTGGGGGGGGACACACATTTCAATAAAATTTTACTTAGCTTGTAATCTCGGGATACAAAAAGTTCCTGTAAAAACTTAGCTGCAGTTTCCCAAATCCTTCCAAAAATAGCTACTGAACTTCAGTTTGTAATGGGACCAAAAAGGAAAATTATTAAACAGATGGGAAATAATCCTCTTATATGCATTACTTGGTTACACTGAATTTTAATTAAATGGAAATATAAATTAAATGCAGACAAATTTGTCCTGTCCCCATTCAGTTTTTGAAATGTGGCTCTGGGCAAGCCACAGAAAAGATGGTTCATGCTCTAAAAAGATTGTGCATCCTTTTCTTTCTTTCATATGACAGTTTTTAAGGCAATTTTGCATGTCCTATTGGGAAATACTTTGAAAGGACAAACATGCTAAGGAAGATTAGAATAATACTGGGGAACAGAGTGAAACAATGACTAAACAGACATTTATTAAACAGCTAAATAGCTCACAATGTAATTAAGAGGTAGAAGACAATCTAATCAAATAGAAATTAGAGGGGAAATGTCTCAAACCTCCATATCCTCAACAAATGGTTCCCATCTGCAAGATAAAATCACAAAAAGCCACATTTTTTAGGAAGCATGGCTCTAAATCTTCAACATGCATGAAACCAAAAAAGGGAATTGAAATGTTTTTTTTTTTCCCTGACTTCAAAGCACTGTCCAATTTGGAGCTGCAATGAGGAATGTATTTTAGAGCAGAAGTGTTCAATCTTGGCAACTTTAAGATTTCTGGACTTTAACTCCCAGAATTCCCCAGACGGCCATGCTGGAGTTGAAGTCCAGAAATCTTAAAGTTGCCAAGGTTTAGAGCATTGTGTCCTTGGTAGAAGTCATGCATGATATAGACTGGAAGATTAGAAACTTTTGAGATTTCTACGGTACTTATGTATAGAGAAGGGGATTATGGAGTTAATAGTATTATTAACATTTGCATTTGCTGGCTCAAAAATGCCTGAGACATAAGATGAACATTGCAGACAGATCACGGGAGATGTCAACCCCACCTTTTCGTTCTGGCTTCTTACCCCAGTACAGGAATGGTGAAACTGATGGTGTAACAGATTTGTTTTATCTCCAATTGACTGCGTGTCCCTGAAAGTCTGGAAAGGTGCTGATAACTTCAACAATAAAATTGGCACCCACAATGCTAGTTGGCTAAATGGAACAAGACCAACTCTTGAGGTAGATTCTTCTGATGAATTCTCATATTATGGTGAGTTAAGGATTAAGAACACTGAAAAAAAATGTGGCTTGCCCAGCTATTATATTGTTGATGGCACAGTAAAATGAGACTTTCTTAAGTAGTTTCTTAGCTGAAAAGCAAATTAGATATTGTAAATGGTTGGGTAACTGAGAGGAGTTTGGCTGAGGAAAGTAGACTTTAGCAACAAAGTTAGATCCTACTAGAGCCCAGTAATCTCAGTACAGATGTAATAGAGTCAGATTTGACCTGGAATGAACTAAACTATTTCCTATCAGTAAAACAATCTCATTTTCTAATTGGAAGAAACGGCTTACAAAATTTTAAAAGAGAAAAGGCACAGTTTTCAAGACATGTACAGCAATGGGTATGCAGACAGCAGAAAAGCTGTACCATGTAATTATAATGAATGTTTCTCTTCCACATTTTCACATCTTCAAAACTAAATGAGCACATTTCTCAAGGCAAAACCAGACAATCTATTGAAAGAGGAACTTGGGTCATGACCATTTCTTCTTTTCTATGGACTAAAACAACAACAACAACCCATTGAACATTTTGCTGGTGTGATGCTTAGATGCTGATAAAGGATGATCTATATTTCTGAGCAAGGAAGGGATAGGGCAAGACGAACATTACAACCCACACACTCTTATGGCTTCTTGCAGTATGTTATGGAGTCTTCCTTCTCCTCAGCTCTCCAATCCTTCTGGCTAGCATAGCCTGGCACCCTGGCAGGACTGCACTCTTATTTCTTTGCCTTTCTAAGCCTGCTGTCTGCCACAGGCTAAGTGGAAAGATACTCTGTCCTAGAAGAAAAATTAAAAATCTCATAAACTTGATTGGATTTTGCTGCCCGAGGCAGAATAGCAAATGTCAATTCTCCTTCAAGTCAAAATATATAGTGTTCAAGGCCAGCCAATATTTTGTTTTTCATATAAAAGTCTTACTAGTGCTTCCATGACACTTTGTGGCAGTTACTTCATTTTACCTAATGATCAGGCTATGTTAGGCTCGAACAACCAGATCCATACGTGAAGAGTTCAATTAGCTACTTTATTGCTCATGTCTTTTACACAGAAATCTTCCCAGACTGGCAGTTTGCATCTGGACCAGACTAGATAAGATTCAACAGCATTCAAGGGGTGGGGGTTGGGGGTTGGGTGTCAGGCCTTTCTCTCTTGTGTCTAAGTAAGGATTCCAGACTAATTCCCTACTTGACTTCTCCCCCCTGGATCAGCCAGTCTCTCTCTGAAATACTAGTCCTGAATCTGAAGGTTCTAAAAAGTTTATTTTCTGAGTAAAGAACATAGAGCAAAGCACCTGTCAACTGGTGAACTGGATGGTATGGCATCCCTATATCCATCCCTTTATTATCTCCTTCTTGATCTGCCATCTAGCTCACTTTATATGAGAGGTCTCTAAACTTCTAAACAGGAAGGTGAGCACTTTTGAAATTCTGAGAACACACTACTGTACATTGCAGATACTTGCACAGATGGGCTGCTGACTGAGTTTGTCCATTCACAAAACAGCCTCAATATTAGGTATTTTTCCAGGGTAATTCACTGTGTGTGCAAAGTGCCTTGGCAGCCTAGAGATAAGTGCAAAGTTTGATCTGTCCTGCCCTATCTTGCATCCAATAGCAGGAAAACAACCAGCACTGCTCTCTGGAGTATTTATCAAGCACCTTGCTCTGAGAAGTGGCTGCAGCAGCCACCTGTTTCATGGTAACACGTAACCGTCAAGTTCATTGCATCCTTCTTTCAGAGTTCCCTAAAAGTGTGGCATATTTGCGTGGGATGAGACATATTTTCTTGCTACGATTTTTTTTCCAAATTTCTTCCCAATCTAGCTTTCCAATGACAAGTAAGCCTCTCCTGGGAACATAATTGCTTAGAAGCTCCAGGAAGCAACAGCTTTTGTAGGCAGTCAAGAACTTATCACAGGCATATCAGAGAAAGGCAGGATATGCCTGAATAGCTTGAAGTAGCAGAAGAATAAGGAATCAGCAAGGTGAGACAAACTGTTGGGTCAGTTTGGAACAGCTACCAGGTAGAATTTTTTAATACATTTGTCTAACAAATAGCAAAGGCGAAATGCCCTTTGATACTGAAAACAGATCTTTATTTGTAAGGCTATGGGAGGGCAATCTGTATTTGAAAGCATCTTCTAATTTCAAACTGGTTGAAAGGTAAAAAAATAAACAAGAGTTCGAAGTAGGAAAACATGAAACTTGGAAGTTACCTGTTCATGAGTTAGCAATTGGACAGTAAAATGAGTTGCATGCAGCTCCTTCGGTCATATCTTTCCTCGCTAGGGTGAAATACACTGCATGTTTATTTCAGTTGGATGACAAACCTTGATCTTTGCATGTAAATGAGCAGTTTTTAAACAAATCAATATGCCCATCTGCTCAGCTAGGTGGCCTCCACAAATGGTCTTGGCACATTGCCACAGAGGAAATAAATGGATTGTCAGCTTTGGAAGCCATATTAGACCGGAAGTTTCAATGCTGCCACCTCCTCATGTGTGGGAAAGTAGGAGGGGGGATTAAAGAGAGGGGTTGTTCGTAGACATAATAGCATTCTTCCTGTCAGTCAAGGTCAGGGCAATCCAGCATCTGGAGAAGGAGTGGTCAGGGGGCTGGGTCAAGATGGAACGGACATTGATTGGAGCATGTGATCGACTGGGAAGAAAGGGGATGGTTTTGGGGGTTTTGACTTACTGAGGGAAACCTGGGCTTTTCAGATTCTGGATTTCCCAGATGTGCCAATTTGCCTATTCTAGTAAAGAAAACTTTGGAAAATGCTTGCTTCTGCGTCTTTACTTGGAGTTGGGGTTTTTCTGGAACGCTGACATGGGTGCAGTTCTGAACTCTGCTCAAAGGAGACTTTACTTTCTAACCGTTTTCCTTCTCTTTTTCTCTTCTTCCTCCTCCTCCTCCTGTCAGTTTTTGACCCTTGGTGACTGCCTGGACTACAGTTTTTCTCAGCAACATTTTTCGGAAGCGGTTTCAGATTGTTTCCTTCCTAGGGCAGAAAGAGGAGAGAGAGTGACTGTTCTGAAGTCATCCAGTTGGCTTTGTACAGGTAGTTAAAGCCACAACAGTTCGTTTAGTGACCATTCAAAGTTGCAACGGCACTGAAAAAAGTGACTTATTACCCTTTTTCACACTTATGACTGTTGCAGCATTCCCATGGTGATGTGGTCAAAATTCAGATGCTTGGCAACTGGTTCATATTTATGGCAGTTAGAGTGTCCCAAGGTCATGTGATCACCTTTTGTGACCTTCTGTCAAGCAAAATCAATGGAGCAGCCAGATTCATTTAACAATCCTGTTGCTAACTTAACAACTGAATGATTCACTTAACAACTGTGGCAAGAAAGGCTGTAAAATGGGGCAAAACTCACTTAACAAATGACTCACTTAACAACAGAAATGTTGAGCTCAATTGTGGTCTTAAATCGAGGACTACCTGTACTTAAGATGGAATTAGAATTCACAGTCTTCTGGTTTCTAGCCCATTGCTTTAACCATTGCACCAAACGGGCTCTCTGTCGTGTTCTTGGAAGTAGATAATAGAATGACACTGCACTATTCAAGTGACGAATCTCCAAATAAATGGAATGTTCTAGTTCTTTTCCTTCCTTTTTGGCATATATAGCAATTGATGTACAGATAGTCCTCAATTTATAACCACAATTATGCCCAAAATTTCTGTTGCTAAATAAGAAAAATTTGTTAACGAGTTTTGCCCCATTTTATGACTTTTATTGCCCCATTTGTTAAGTGAATCACTGCAGTTGTTAAATTAACCTGGTTACCCCATTGACTTTGCTTGTCAGAAGGTCACAAAAGGAGATCACATGATCCCTGGCAACCATCATAAATGTAAGTCAGTTGTCAAGCATCCTAATGTAAGTCACGTGGCCATGGGCTTGTTGCAATGGTTGTAACTATGAAAAATGGTCATGAGTCACTTTTTTCAGTGCCGTTGTAACTTTGAACAGTCACCGAAGGAACTTTCGTAAGTCGAGGACAACCTGTATTTCAGTCATTGATCCAGAGTGCTGAGGGACCGAAAGGGATTCTGAAATGAGTTTTAAACATAAACCTCAACCTTTAAAAAGCGATGGGCAGTGAATATGTATTAGGCTGAAGAGAATTTCCCACAGCAATTCTACTGGAGCAGAAATTGCTGAGCTGAATCATTTCCTTTCTGTCTCTTGGTATCAGATACGGTCAGGAGGTTCAGCCTGTTTCCTAGCTACATGCAAAGCACACGGATATTTATTTATTTTTTTAATCAGTAAAAATCAACCCAGGCTGCAAAAACCAGGCCTCGCCAAAGGAAGTGGTGAATGATGACTGCATCAGTTTGTGGATTCCAATTACATCATGCCTAGAGCTATCCATGTCACAAAAAGCCAATGGACACCCAGTGCCAAATCGTTATGGTGGAGACATCTGACAGAAACCACCATCATGTCACAGATCATCCTACAAAATGTGTGCAGGTGGTCCTCGACTTATAGCACAATTGAGTCCAACATCTTGTAGAGACCCCAATCCAGGTGTATGAGAAACCATTTAAAAGATACTGCGTGGAGTTAAGCACAAGCAGGTAGTCCCCAATTTACGACCACAATTGAGCCCAACCTTTTTGTTGCTAAGCAAGACATTTGTTAAGTGAGTTTTGCCCCAATTTACAACCTTTTTTGCCACCATTGTTAAGTGCATCATTGTAGGTGCTAAGTTAGTAACACGGATGTTAAATGTATCTGGCTTTGTCCATGGACTTTGCTTCTCAGAAGGTTGCAAAAGCGGATCACATCAGAGGTGGGTTTCAGCGGGTTCTGACCAGTTCTGGAGAACTGGTAGCAGAAATGTTGAGTAGTTCAGAGAACTGGTAGTAAAAATTCTGACTGGTCCCGACCCCATCTATTCTCTGCCTCCCAAGTCTCAGCTGATCAGGAGGAAATGGGGATTTTGCAGTATCCTTCCCCTGCCACACCCACCAAGCCACGCCCACCAAGCCGTGCCACACCCATCAAGCCACACCCCCAGAACCAGTAGTAAAAAATTTTGAAACCCGCCACTGGATCACATGACCCCAAGACATGGCAACTGTCATAAATATGAGTCAGTTGCCAAGCGTCTGAATTTTGATCATGTGACCATAGGGATGCTGCTACGGTCGTAAGTGTGAAAAATGGTCATAACTCACTTTTTTCAGTGTGGTTGTAACTTTGAACTGTCACTAAATGAATGGTTATAAATTGAGGATTACCTGTAATCATGCAATTATTACAAAATTGTATGACTTTCTTCATTTGTGCGATCATTCCCAATTTGCAAAAAATACAATAAAAAAGAGATTTGGGTAGCTCTAGTAGTCTTACCAGCCTTTTGAGGGTAGCAAGGCAATTATGTATTAATTGGAAGTTCCAAGATGAGATGAAGGTTAAAGGTATAATTGGATAAGAACAAGCAGGATTTGTTTGCCTCTGATCATAGCCTGTAAATAAAGACTTCACCTTAAAGTCACTTGTGTACAATTGTGGCTCACAATTGTGTAAGTTGTAGTCCTCAATTTACAGCCACAATTGAGCCCAACATTTCTGTCGTTAAGTGAGACATTTGTTACTTGAGTTGTGCCCCATTTTACATCCTTTCTTGCCATAGTTGTTAAGTGAATCACTCAGCTGTTAAATTAGGAATCTGGTTGTTAAGTGGATCTGGGCTCAATCTGTATCCCAAGATCACATGACCTTGGGACACAGCAATGGTCGTAAGTATGAATCAGCTGCCAAGCATCTGAATTTTGATCACATGACCATGGGGATGCTACAAAGGTCGTAACTATGAAAATTGGTCGTAAACCCTCTTTTTCAGTGCTGTTGCAACTTTGAACGGGCACTAAATGAACTGTTGTAAATCGAGGACTATCTGTAAAGATGTGATGTAATGATAATGCTTGCTCCCCATTGCAGATCCTCACGTACCAGGGAGTGCAGGTGGGTCTGTGAATTGGTCTCTGTGACCAATTAATACAGGGGAAAAAAGAGGTGATTCTTTAATTGCCAGGACATGGCTGCCTTTTTTCATCACTATTCCCTCAGGTGGTCCTGATATATGGACAGACAGATTGCAACATCATAGACCTAAGGTTGGTGACAAGGTTTTTCCCACTCACCTACAGTGTAATTGTTGATCTCTTGGCATATATCTAGCTTCAAATTACTTTTCTTGCCTTTTGAAGGTTGTTTCTTTTCAGAAAAACAACTAGGTTTCAAGGTAGTTCTTTGGAAGGACTCTGCAGTAAATCTGAAAATGTATAAAAAAATTTGATAGAGCTTAAAAAATTCACAGCACCGTTTCACAGGACATAACTCTGCATAACATGTTATGCTACTGTACTTTTTAATTCAGTGCGAAAATTCTGAAATCATTAGTATGATTTATTTGACTCTTTTCCCCAGAATTAATCCCCAGAAGGATTAATGATTAATCTCCCATCCAAATTACATGGAATAAACACCTTATTTCATTAATTTGATGTCTAGATCATTCCAAATCAGTGGGCAATTTTTTTTTCAGTACAATTAATTTGCAATTAATTAATTGCAGATAGGTGTGAAAAATGTTTGCAAACATTTGACTAAGATGCTTCCCCACCCCCCAAGATTGACCTAGAATTGTAGGAAAGAAGAGTTTAGAAATCTGATGCCAGCTAATTAAAAAACAAATGCAGTGTGAATTAAGAAGTTAACCTCTATCTAATTTCATTAATTCTTCTAGAATTCTTTTCCGAGTAGAGACATTGGGAGGTTGCAGAAATTGGCTAGATTACAGTGTTTCTCAACCTTGGCACCAGAAGATGTGGGGACTTCAACTCCCAGAATTCCACGGCCAGCTGTGCTGGCTTGGGAAATCTGGGAGTTGAAGTCCACTCATCTTCCAGTGGCCAAGGTTGAGAATCAGTCGGCTAGAAGGTTTTCTGTGATCAGCAACCCAAATGGTGCTCTATATCAGGGGTCACCAACCTTTCGGACCTCAGGGACCACTAAATTCATAATTTTAAATGCCACAGACCACTAATATGATCTGCCTAATGACCGGCTGGGTGGGAGTGGCTAGGTGGTCATGTGATTGGGTGGGCATGGACAACTCAATGTCACTCACATGGAGGGGTGCCTCACCGGCCTGTACTCGACCCTCCTCTCCCAGCCACTCCTATCCTCCCCACACGGGCTCCTTAGGGCCCCAACAGGAAGCAGTTGTTGGAGCTAAGCAGCCACCATGAGAAAGAGTTGGCAAAAGAGGTCAGTTCAAATTGGATCTGACCAAGAAGGAGGCTCAGCAGAAACACTTCACTGAGGACTATGAGCATAGACTTTCCAAGCAGAGGGAATACCTGGAAACTCAACGGGCAGAGATGGTCAGCCTGTTCCAGGCCATGATGCAATCCCACTGGAACAAGGCCCTCCAACTCTTTGCCACCAGCAGCACTTCCCTCCAGCCTTTGCCCAAAGCCCCACACCAGGAGGCTGAAGCAGACCCCAAGTCAGAATTTCTTCCCTCCTCCGACCTACATAAGAAGACCCCGAAGGGGGAGACTCTCTGCAGCAACACAAACGTTCATTGCATGTATCCAGCCCAGGGGCCGTAGTTTGAGGACCCCTGATTTAGTGCAATATAAAAAATGCAAATAATTTTTCTGCGGACCACCAAAATTTTCTCGTGGACCACCAATGATCTACGGATTACCAGTTGGTGACCGCTGCTCTGTATGATAGTCACTTCTTCTAGACTTCAGTCCACTTCCCCTTGTAGCATAAAGATGACATCTGTCTTTTAGCCTATTAGAAAATGCCACCTCCAGGCTATGTCCAGAAGTGGATGCAGCTTGTAGAATTGGGCTAGCCAGGTTTTCGCATTACTTGTGAATGTGAGACTCTGGGTTGGTCTGTCCAGAAAAAAAATCAAACAACAAAGCCATCACTGGAAATTATCTATCTCTCTTGTATCTTAATTTTCTGTCTGTTCTCCATTTCTTTCTGGAGAAAAATGTTCAACAATGCAATTATGCTTAGAATACAAATGTGCTTAGGTTTTGTTTTGTTTTTTTACTAGCGCCAATATTTTTGTTTTTCTTGCTCACTAGGGAAAGATATGATACAACTACTACTAACATAATTACTGACGTATTTGCCTCCCCCCCAAAAGAAAAAAGAATCACCCTTCCAGTATAACATTTATTTATTTATTAAATTTATATGCTGATCATCTCACTATTAAATGATGCTTGGGTATAATTATTTTCCCCAATTATACTTATTAAAAAAATAAATTTAAGAAAAGAAAGTCATTCATGGGCACCAATGAATTTTCAGGCCTAGGCCTCCTGCCATATTCATATAATGTTTTCTCACAGTTTAAGCATTTGAAGTTAGCTCAGTTTTCAAAGCAACTATTTTTGTTGATGTGACAGTCTGAACTACTAAAATGGACAGTCTTACTAAAACACATGAAGCTCACCCAATAAGCCTGTCGAATATTATTTAATTTAGTGCTAGTAGGTTTGGGCTACAAAACCTGGATGACAGTTAGATGGCAGCAAAGAATAAATGCTCTGTACTTCTTTGCTGCCACCTAGTGGTCATCTGGAATTTCCAGCGAAATCTGAAAGCCCCATCTAACTAAGGTTGTGAAACTGCCAGATCAGATATATTTAAGAGATTACATCCTAATATGTGAAGATTTTTACATCTCATTGTATTTTCACAGATGATGTTAATAGGATGGCCTTGGGGACGAAGGGAAGATGCTGCTGAGGAAATGATCAGATAAGAGATGCAGGAATTCCCAATTGCTTAGCAGTCAGAAATAGAAACTTATGAAAGACTAATGGATTAGGTATTTAAAAATGGTGGCGGAAAGTTTATCCTTTCAGACTTGCAAGATTCTGTTAATGCAGCTTTACAATAAAGTGTAATTAGCTCACCTACTCCTGTTTCCTATGTGGTTTAACTGGGAAGGCTGATAGATTGGTTTTACTCAGAGGTGGTATTCAGCAGGTACTGAGCAGTTCTGGAGAACCGGTAGCGGAAATTTTGAGTAGTTCGGAGAACTGGTAAATATCACCTCTGACTGGCTCCACCCCCATCTATTCTCTGCCTCCCGAGTCCCAGCTGATCAGGAGGGAATTACGATTTTACAGTATCCTTCCCCTGCCACGCCCACCAAGCCACGCCCACAGAACCGGTAGTAAAAAAAATTGAATCCCACCACTGGTTTTACCCCTCCCTTTTATTTGATTCTCTGATTATTGTAATCCATCAGACAAGATCTCGGCCTTGAATAAACATTCTCCCGTCATGTTCTGGAAGATGGCTGAATAATACTGGGAAGAAGTTGGATGGTGGTGCAGTTTGCAGCAAAGGTATTTGGGAAAGATCCATGCATGGATGTCACAGGTTTTATTAAACCTTACTAGTTCTTAATGTCTACCTTATTGCAAAACTGCCAAACATTAGGTGGGGAATATGGGGAGATATGTAAGAAAGAAATACCAGCAACCTATTGAAAGATGCCCTGGGAAAATCTATGGTTTGTATATGATACTTTGCTCTGTCTTAGGATGCCCTGGAAATTTGTATTTATGGTATCCTAAATTCAGACCTTCAACGAATCAAGATTTCACATAGGGATTAAAACACAATGCTAGCAAATTGCAATTTGGGGCATTTGTTGAATATTCAAAAAAGTGTGCTGAGAGACAATAAACAGGCTGGAACAATCTCTTTTGTTTTGTTTTCTTTTTTTGAGATAAGCCTGAATCTGTTGAACAAAAGCTCACTCTTGTGTATGATTTGATCAATGAAACATGGATTCATTAGTGTGAAACATTTATATAAAATCTCCTTGTGCTAATTTGCTTTTGGGTGGATGTTAATATTATTAACCCCTTCTAGCATGGGATGACAATTGCTTTCTCAAGAGCTCAATATCCCCACCTGCTGGCAGGTTTACACAAGCTATAGGCAGCCAATCAAGGACTCTGGGAGAAGAAAATGCCAATGTGTTAATTGATTGAAAATATTTTATACCTTAATCAGGTAAATTTTCATGGTATTGCAAAACATGTGAAATGGCAGTCTAAAAAGACAAATACTTTGACCACCATACAAAAGACAATGATAAAACAAAAAGTACCCACCGCACCATAGATGGTATAATGTTTAAATTGCTAAGGTAATTGTCCTAATCAAGTAGTTAAAGCTGATAAAATAGAGGCAAGGGAGGCTGTCTTAAAAAAACCAATACTAGATCGCAATGATATAAGTGAAAGATGAGTTTTATGTCGCATGGTTCTGAAGCAGATGGCAATTGAAGCATGAGTTGAAAAGAAGAGCTTAAAACATGGGCATGTTTGAATGGAAAACAAGTTGTTTTTCAATACTGGGCCAGGGGTGGGTTCTACGTACCTTTACTACCGGTTCGCTGGGAGACTGTGAGTTCTAGTCCCTCCTTAGGTACAAAATCAGTCACTCTCTCAGCCCTAAGAAACAGAGAGTGGCAAATCACATCCAAAGAACCTTGTCTAGAAAACTGCAGGAATAGTCCAGGGAGTCGCCAGGAATCAATACTGATTTGAAGGTGCGCACATGTGCTCACACACACACACACACACACACACTCACACACTCACACAGAGTCTTATGTCCCTTTAAAATTTGCTTCTGAATTGTACGGCTTGCAATGACAAAAGAGAGAAAAAATTAGATAGATGGAAGGTAAATTTAGTAGTAGTATTTAGAAATGGAATTATGCTTAAATAATCCAAACTTTATTTTTTATCTTCATCCTATCCATGTTTTATCCTTGCCTTGTCAAATTTTTCAGTGTGACCCTAGTCTTTCCCTGAAAGGCAATATGTGATTCTTAACCTTAAAAAGAACCTCTGACGTTAGTTCATATGTAACTTAATAATGGAATGGAATGGAAGAGGAAGTAAGCAAGCAACAGAGGAATTCTACAATAAGAGTTATCCAAAGAGGTTTAATTAACAGTTCTCAGCATGAAAGAGAGAAAGAAGAGGAAAGAAAAGGAAAGAAAGAAAGAAAGAAAGAGAGAGAGAAAAAAGAAAATGCCATTCAATCCGATGTTTCTTGTATTCTGTAAAATATTTTGAGTTGGAAATAGGAACTACAGTCCCACACATATTGATATGGAAATAAACCCACTAAACACAGTGAGGTTTATTACTAACTAAACATGCATCAGATTACTCCAATGCAAGAAGATTGAAAAAAGGAAGGTGCATAATTTCACTCTAATTATTGTGATCAGAGTGCCAGTTTGTTATAACGGTGAATTAAATTGGGATTTCTGGTACTGCCTTGGGCACAAAGCCAGCTGGATGACTTGGACCAGTCACTTTCTCAGATCTAGCAATGGCAAACTACCTCCAAAGAAAACTGCACGGACTTGTTCAGACAGTTGCTAGGAGTCAACACTAATTCAAAGGCACAAAAACAAAACGTACAAATCAGATTGGATGGAAGGAAGTTTCATAGTTCTGGGCTAGTTACTGTAAAAGTTCCAATATCTTCATTATATTTCATTTCTTCATTAGTCACACATTTATTATAACCCATTGTTCAAGTTAGAACAGTTTATTAGCCACAAGCAGCTTATATATTTGGAATCTTTTGTTATTAAAAAGGTAACAACCCTTGTGGGGGGAATCACACCAGCCAACCTCACCAAATTACCTTATTAGACTTTCAAATAATTATAGTTTCCATAGCCACCAAACTGACCTTCGTTTAATTGGCTGGAATTCTCTGGGGCGAAAGAAGGGCTCTGCAATTTTCTTTCTGAATAATAAATCTATCTTTTGAAGTTGACCATCATGCTGGCTATCAAGTTTCTAAAATCACAGCCATCAATGGTACATTAAGGAAAGCAATCATGAAATTTAGTAGGGAATAATCAAATCGGGGCATGATTTCCAGTCTGACTCTCCAATGTCCTCCCCAAATTTTAGAAGTGAAACAAAGTTAGATTTACCCTTTATGTGATGCCAGTTAATTAATTACTGTTAATTAATTACTGTGATTAATTATTTCTCACTTAAATGATGTCTGATGGCTTAAATAATGGTTGATGTACTGGTGTTTCCTGGATTTTGTTTCCAATGCAACTCCCTTCTACACTGGAATGTCTTCATTTTAATGTTATGGCCAAATATGAGGAATTATGACACAGAAGCTTTTCAAATACCATAGGTCTGCTGGAGTACAGAATATGTAGAGTATATTCCTTAATCCACTTAGCTGTGTCTTCCTCATTTTGGGGAAACCCCGCAGGCCCTAGAGGGGATAGAGGGTTTAGCAAAATACTTCTATGATATTCTAGAATCTTCCATTAAATTGTAAAAATCTCAGGGTAGCAGAAATTCTGCAACCTACTTTAGATTGTGGTAAACTTCCACTGACAAGCTTATAACTGCAGATTAATTTTCTACTTCTGAGAGCCAACTCCTTTTTTAAATATGTCTTTTAGATATTTGAGGCCTGGATAGGGACAGTCAATTCTTATATGCAAGATACAGTGGCCTATCCAAAAGAAGGTAAAAAGCAATAAAAATCAGAATTCACCCAAAGGGAACAGAAGGCTTGAATCAATAATTCTGTGAACTATAGAATGCTTAGTGATCCCTTCAATGTTTCAAAGTAGCAATTTCTTTGAATATCAGTGACAAATACTGTATTACGGAAGCTATTATTCTGATTAATTGTTCTATGGGATGTAAAACGGCCTGCATCCCTTTGAATAGTTACTGATTTACTTTTCTAGAGATTTCTCTTTCTTACTTACTTTAACTATTCTCCTAAAATTCCTGATCTAGTGTAGGTGTCCTGACATTTCAGCTCTACCTGGATTAGCACTGGATTAGGTCGTGAAATAGGGTGAGCCCGTACTGAGTATATTTTGTATTGCAGATGGAAATTGTTTTGTTCAGGCATGTGTGGTTTCTCCTGATTATTCTTTTCTTATTATTTAATAATGTAAACTGCCCAGAGTTTTTCTGAAAAATCAGAAAATCAGTCAGTCAGACAGACAGACAGACAGATAATAGATAGATAGATAGATAGATAGATAGATAGATAGATAGATAGATAGATAGATTAGACAGACAGATCTATCTGTCTAACTGTAGAATAAATAGATATAGAACAATGGAGTTTCTCTCATTTATGCTAAGTAGTAGTCAGTGTATTTCAGCCTTCATTTGCATACAGTAATTATTTTGTCCTTTTCTATCTAAATTTCAAGATCTGTAAAGCAGAGTAAAGTAGGGAGTGAATTTTTGTCAGGTGCTAATTAACTCAGCTGGGGTCCAATTTTGCATTTGTTACAATCAATGGGAATTTCTTCAGGGATGTGCCAGCTCCTACTGTGGTTATCAATGAAAGAAATAGCTTTCTTCAGACCAGCTAGGCACACTGTCTAAGAGCTTTGGAAATCTATTTTTGATGTCTTCTAATAATTTCAAATATCAATCAGTAACACACTACAAATGGATTTCAGATAGAATAATATCTGGCAAATGAGGGGAAATTAATTTTGTCTTTATTTGAGATGCTAGGGATGTTAGCAAAATATAACTAAAGAAACGTATAGATATACTTATGCATAAAATGGGAAATCTTGCAAACTGTATAGTGCAGTGATGGCTAACCTTTTTGCCGTCATGTGCCAAAAGCGGGGGTAGTGGGGGGAGATTGCGTGCGCGCGTGCCCACACCCATAATTCAATGTGCCCCGTCCCCCCATGCATGCGTACGTGACCCCCCTGCTTCCCCACCCTTTTGGCATGCGATGGCCCGTTGGGCCCGGTAGGCCCATTTTTTGCCCTCTCCAGGCTCCAGAGCCTTTCTAGAAGCCTGGGGAGGGCGAAAACAGCCTTCCCCACTCCCTCAGAGGCCCTCCGGAGGCCCGGAAACAGCCCATTTCCTGACTTCCAATGGGTCCGGAAGGCCTGAAAATCAGTTGGCCAGCACGCACATGCGTGCTGGACTGAGGTAAGGCAACGCTCGCTTGCCTACAGATATGGCTCCTTGTGCCACCTGTGGCACTCTTGCCATAGGTTCGCCATCACGGGTATAGTGTATTATTATAGTATAGTGTACTTAGTACAGTGTACTTTTCTTAGCACACTATACTAGCGTACTAAGTATAGTGTATTTTTATAGTGCATTTAGTATAGTGTACTTTTCTACTTAGTATAGTATAGTGTACTTTTCTACTCTGGAAACCATATGTTTAAGAAAGTGGTATTTATGGGGTATGTCTATATGTGTTTATGTATTTGGAGGTGTGAAATACGGCAAAATCAGAAGGAACTCCCCAAAAAACATAAAAGAGAAATGGAAGAAACAGTGACACAAAAAACAGAGAAATCCCACCCTGCTCTTAGCTGCTACATATCTCACAGCCATAAACATTCTGACATCCCCTTTCTATACAAAAGGGAAAGAATTAAAAATAAAAATGCGTGGGCAGTTTCTTTGCATGGTGCCCTTGCCGAACAAATAATTTATAATTTCACCCTTGCTTGTTGGTTTGTTCTGGACCACAAGGAGCTACAAAGCTAGAATTATCTTTACAGAACAGAAAGCTTTGGAAGAAGAGCAGCCCTGCAGTTGCCTCCAAAGGGGAAACAGAACTGCAAAAACTGTGAAAAAATCAAAATCAAAAACCAAAGTCCAACTTTGAGCAATTTCAGCTACAGTGTATTAGCTTATCTTTGCAACACAAGAGATGTGGGAAGTTTTATCCTGCCTATTCCAATCTAGTATATTAAATTCATGGCCTCATAGTAAAGCCTCTGTTTTGTGCTGCTGATGCAGATTCAAGTTGGACCAAACTGGCAGGAAAGTGGTTGCCATGAAAAACTAGAATAAAATCACAATGTGGACATTGTATATCATAAGAAGGAATGTGCAAAGGTGCTTTTTTCAAGAGGCAACTGGACTTTCTTGTTTTTCTTTGAAGATGTTTTGTTTCTTATCCAAGAAACTTATTCAACTTATTCAACTCTGACTGGATGATGGGGAAGGGAAGGATATATATTCCTTGCAGATAGCTGGTCATTTGAGTTCTTTTAGAGAGTCATTGAGGCCACATGGAGGACAAAGATAAACCTCCAAGTGGCCTTAATGACTCTCTAAAGAATATAAATGACCATCTATCTACAAGGAATATAAATCCTTCCATTCTCTACTATCCTGTCAGAGCTGAAGAAGCTTCTTGGATAAGAAGCAAAATGTCTTCAAAGAAAAACCAGAAAGTCCAGTTGCCTCTTGAAAAACCGTAATTATATTTCTTTTGGGACAACCATGACCTGGATGACTGAGAATCTCCATAGACATAAGAAGGAATGTGTAGTGTATTGAGCCTGCTCAGTAGGGGAGGCCCCGTGTTGTTACGTTCCGTAATGTTTCTGTAAGATGATTCACGGTTCATGGTCTGACAAGCTGGTATATAAAGGGCTGTCAGGCAGAAGTTCGCGCGTTCTGTTCTGAGGCAGCTCCGGTTGCCAGCTGTAACTTGTTATGATTAAATGTGTTACCTCAGACCACGAGTGATCCAGTATTCATGAATTTAGCCAGTATTTGCCAGAATGACCTTCAGAAGGTCAACAACTTTCTGGGTTACAGTTGGCCTGGTGTAGGAATCTCTTCTCCGATGGGGTCACTAAGCCCTGTTTCTCCATAGCTGATTCTGCTTTAGCTGTTGGAGACAGCCAAACCTCACCAAGTATTGTCTGTCTTCAGTTTGGGTGTTCAGTCAGGGTTAGGTGGCTAACATGAGCTTTGCGCTCTGGCTATGAATGAGAATATGAATCCTGTGGCAATCTTCTATAAGGTCCATATCTCAACAGTAAGCAGAGTCTAAACTTCAGGTTTAAATACTGCCACCACTGGTCTTCCTCTGTTAAATAGTTGCCCTGGAAGACATATACATAACAAACTACTGTAATTATATTTCTTCAAGGAGGACCTATGTATAGACAAAACCATGTCTCTTGGACTACCTGTCCATAGGAAATCTTGTAGAGCAGGGGTGTCAAACTCGATTTCATTGAGGGCCACATCAGCGTTGTGTTTGACCTTGGGGTTGCCCGGGGGCGTGGCCAGAGTGGGCGTGGCCAGCTCAACATTACTTGTGTTGGGGGTACCTGTCGTGGCCCAAGCGCTCTGCCTGCGAAAATGGGCTCCCAAACTCCGTTTTCCTCTGCCAGTGAAAATGGAGCTCAGGAAGCCCACACGCAGCCCTTGTGAGCTCTGTTTTCACTGGCAGAGGCACTGCGGGCCAGTCCTTGGCTGTTTCCAGGATGGCCTCATGGGCCAGATCCAAGCACCCCATGGGCCGGCTCCGGCCCCTGGGCCTTGAGTTTGATATCCCTTGTAGAGCAATAGATTGTTGGGCAGGAAACAAGTCTCCTCTCCCACCTTTCCATCTCACTTTTAATTCCTGGCTCCTCTTAACCCCTTTAGCTTCTCTCACTAGTTTTTCCAGCCTTTCTGCTTTCTCCCAACTTATCACTCTGCCAGAAAATTATCCTAAATTACTTTCTATTCAGGCAGGGTTATTCTCACCCTTGTTGTTGACGGTGGGATAAAAGCTCATCAACAGGACTTTGAGGAAGAGCTCAGAGAGGTTCGCTGTTTTCATCTCTACACAGGATCAGCAGCCTCTACCGATTCTGGGAATAGAATGATGAAAGATGAAAGGGTTGAGGTATTGTGATGCAAGGCTTTTCCCTTTGTACGCAAGTTGTGAAATTGCACATACATAGAACAGAAGTAGTGTTTGTCGTGCAATACCTGCTTTCATCATTAGGACAAAACCAGCAAATTCTGCAAATGCCACTAGCCAGAATGCTTTTGTGGATATGCTCTTGATGTCCCTAATAACTGGCAATGATAGGAAAATTGGTCCAAGGATCTTAAATGACATCATCCTAGGCATCTGTTTTAAACCCATTAACAAACTTTGGAAAAATAGCACTGAAGGAAAAAAGAATTGAGAATAACTTACTTTCGTTTGAATTTCTGTGAAACAAAGAGAAAAATAAAGTTCTCAATACTTTTCACTCATTTAAAAGTATTGGCAACATATTGTGAGTATACTAAATGAGTAAAAACTTGGAAACATCATTCTTTTTTTTATATTTTCACATAACTTTTATTAAAGTTTAAAATATTAAAATACAAATACATCTGTAATGAAAATACATCCATTATAATTGTACAATTCAACGTCGTTCTGACAGTACACAAATCTTAACTCAATTCATATATTCCCAGATTTTCCTACTTGATCAAGTATGTATAAATACAATTTATGTCTTATTTTGATCTATATATTTCCTATTTTTCTTTTCTATCCATTGATACCAGTTTTCCCAAGTTGAGTAATATTCTTTTACATCTCATTGTGCTCTATGGTTCTGTTAAGATAGGTAATAGACAGAGGATTTATGCAAGTAGATTGTAAAAGCTTGACCACAGAACAATTGGAAGATCAAATCTGCTGATTTTGCGTGTTTAAAGGACTCATTTTCATGTTTTAACTTTTAGCTACCTTTTTTCACGAGCGTTCAATTCACTGATTAGTCAGGCCTGATATAAATGAGATTTCAACTTCTAGCAATTAATCCCCTCATATTTAAAAGTGCCCAGAGACCTTTTTGCAAAAAAAAAAAAAAATTAATACATTTTAGAAGCAACTATCTTTATGATATACTAATTGTTTTCTTTGGAAATCAAGTGGTGTGAACACATTTCTGTTCCTGGATTAGATTTCAATTTCAGCTGAATTTAATTTAATGTTAACTATAGTTAACTGTAAATTGCATATTCTTACTCTGATCCCACCCAGGATGCCACACAAAAGCAAAATGTGCCTCCCCAGAAGTTGTGCACCTGTGGATATAATATTAATATTTTAAAGAAGAATTTTCCTTATGCTAAATAGGATTAATTTACTTTTAATAATGTTGGCCAGATGCCATTAGCAATGCAGAACTGTGATCTGGCACATGATCCCTAAGGAGCTGTGGTTACTCAAGGAATGAAAGAGAGGAAAATTTGATGGTGAAACTGCTCCAGTGAAAGTGTTTGAGGGGAAAAGGCTTTTAAAAAGTCATCAAAAGGGGCAAACTTGGCTCTGGAATTTACTTGGCTCCAAAATGCAATTGGAAAATGTTTGATCCATTTTAATCGGTAGAGAAAAAAGGCTTCCATGTTAATGCAGAATGCACACATTCCACAAAGAACACTTGAGCAACATTTAAATTCTCCAGCTGTTGGAGGTTATTGTCTTTAGAACTTTGTGTGGCCTTTTCTTCATAGATCATTGGTTCAACCAGGGGTGAAATCCAGCAGGTTCTGACAGGTTCTGGAGAACCGGTAGCGGAAATTTTGAGCAGTTTGGAGAACCGGCAAATACCACCTCTGGCTGGCCCCAGAGTGGGGAGGGAATGGAGATTTTGCAGTATCCTTCCCCTGCCACACCTGCCAAGCCACACCTACCAAGCCATACTATGCCCACTAAGCAACGCCCACAGAACCGGTAGTAAAAAAAAATTGGATTTCACCACTGGGTTCAACCCAACCTCAGAGTGATTTTCCCACTGAAATCAGCACTTTTTTTAAAATCCTAAAAATGCAGGTGATGTAGAATGTTGCAATCCCTTAATAAATAGGATGTAAGTATATATAACAATTTTGTTTACAAGAATGCTCAATAAGGTTATACAAGAATAAGAGAACAATTAGGAAGATCGAATTTAAAAGTAAAGATAATTGTCGATGCAGAAAGTTGTAAAATATTATATATTGTTGTTATTCATGTTTTGTATTTTACCGTTTGGTGTATGTGTATGTTTTCCTTTTTTTTCCTTTTCCTTTTTTCCTTTTTTGTCTTTTTCTATTATGTTTTTGATTTTAAAATGTAAAATATTCAATAAAAAAAATTTTTTTTATTGAGCAGTATATGTCCCACCATATACAAAAAAACAAAAAAACAACAACAAATCAGTTTCCTTATTGCCATAACTCAAACTTTAGTGCTTGATTACAGAGATGGAAAGCCTTAGTACTCCTGATTTTTCTGAAGTACAAGTCCCAGCAACCATTGCCACCTGTGCTAGGCGTGCTGGGATCTATAGTTCAGCAATTTCTGGAGAGCTAAAGTTCTCCTTCCCTGAAGTTACTGAAAGTTCTACAATGATCTGCCCATTCCTTCTTTAACCCAAAAGTCTCCTTTTAATAGAAAACATTGTTTTCTGTTGTTTCTGCCCAGTTTGTTAGTCCACCATGTCTTCACTTTTGTTTCTTATTTTTCAGGTTTTTCATGTTTTAAGTCATTTTTAAGACTCCAGGAGTTCCTGGGAATCAGGCAGCATATACATTCAAAGCATCGTTATCATAGCCATCATCTTTCCTTGAAACTCTTCTTGAGATAATCTCTTTATTTAGACAGCAGTATGGTATAAATGCAAAATGCTCATATTTGGTTAATTTCTCCTGAATTAAGAGCAGTGGTGGGCTGGTTCGGGCAACTGGTTCGGGTGAACCGGTAGTTGCGACCTGCAGGTGGGCCCGCCCACCCGCTTGGGTGCAATCCCGCCCTATATCACTGTGTTTTTGACACCACATGCATGTGCGGACGGCACACGTATGCGAATTGCCTGTTTTGTGATGCTGCATGGATGTGCGGAGGGCCCACGCGTGAACTGATTGTTACAGTATGTGACGCCCACCTCTGATTAAGAGTATCTTACTTCTAAGTATATATGTATTAATTAGGTATGTGTTGATTTAACCAACAATTTGAATCAATGGCTGTATTTTATTTTAGCTGGTTTACAGGATTATACAGATCTAACCTGTCATGTATCACCTCCAATCCGCCGGGCTGCCATTCCGGAGGGGAAGACTGCCAGTCCACAAGCCTAATTGCCCTGAACCTGCCGCTGACATGGCTGCTTCTATCCTGGCCACCAGTGAGACCGCCGTAATACCCTGGAGCCCCGATACCTTTTCTTGTATGCTATTGCCGCTGCAGTGAGCCCCAGGGACTGACGTGGAATTGGTGCTGCGGGCCCCGCCGTTTTCGCTGCCCCCTCAGAGCTGAAGAAAGACAGCTGATGTTCAGGGCAGGGTGCTTATTGGGAGGAAAAGCCACCACCCTTGCAGACTGTCGTGACTGACAAACCAAGACTAATTAGCGGTTTGTGGGGTATGTGTGACTAGGTGGAAGCTAGGCTAAGGGTGGAGCAATGGGGTGGAACTGGGAAGGGGAGCAGGAAACTTCAAAAGGTGGTGGGGAGCACAGTGCGGATAGCGCTGACAATGTTTCACTTTCATGGGTGATTGTCAGAGCGTGCCAGATCATAGGATAAAAACCTTTCACAGCAAACCTGTTTGAAGTGTTTTATTTCACGTCATTCCGGAACCTGACATCATGACTTATGAAACGAGCAATGATGTAGTTGTGGACTCACTGATTATAGTTTGCACAAACCAATGGCTGGCTTAATATATCACAATAGATCATATTCAATGTACACCTCGACTTATGACCACAACTGAACCCAAAATTTCTGTGGCTAAGCATGAAAGTTGTTAAGTGAGTTCTGCCCCATTTTACGACCTTTCTTGCCACAGTGGTTTAGCGAATAACTGCAGCTAAGTTAGTAGCGTGATTGTTAAGTCAATCTGTCTTCCCCATTGACTTTGCTTGTCAGAAGGTCGCAAAAGGTGATAACATAACTTGGGGACAGTGCAACCGTCATAACTACAAGTCGGTTACCAAGCATCTGAATTTTGATCACATGACCCTGGAGATGTTACAATGGTTGTTAAGTATCAGTCATAAATCACTTTTCCAGTGCTGCTGTAACTTCAAATGATCACTAAACGAACTGTTGTAAGTGGAGGACTACCTGTACTTTAGGGAAACACAACAGCATTGCTCCACATCCAGAAAGAAGTTTGAAGTGATAACAACAAGAAGAAAGAATGGTGATCTGAGTCATTGGTCAATATCTCCATCACCATTGGTGCGTTCTTTTCCTTGACAGAACCTGGAATAGGACATTAGGTTCCCTAGTCAAGGTGCAAAGAAAGCAATTTGTATTGCAAGTTAGACAAAAAGTCCACAAGGACATCTTCCCATTCTAGGCTGAAAAGTACCGTATTTTCCGGTGTATAAGACGACTGGGCGTATAAGACGACCCCTGACTTTTTCCTGTTAAAATATAGGGTTTGGGCTATACTCGCCATATAAGACTACCCCTCTTCCAACGCACACCAAATAAAAATTAAAAAATATTAACTGGCTCACCCACAATGTAAAAGCAGCTGTGCTAGACCCAAAATGGCCCCTGCAACAAGCAGGAACCTCACACAGCTACAAAAAGCCCAAAAAAACAACTTTCACACTTTACACACACAAAATTCCACATACAGCTTTGTGAGATTTTGTGTGTTTGTGTAGTTAGAGTGAAACACTACAGAAACACACTAAATCTCAGAAAGCTGCACAAATATTATTTTATTTTATTTTATTTTTATTTTTATATGAAAGCTAAATTTAAAACTTCCTAAACTTTAAATGGCTAGGTCTAAAAAAGAATAACTAAAAAAAATC